AAATTACGTTTCCTATTAACGAAATAAAAAAAGAAAAAAGATTTTATCGATCGTAGAATATTTCTACAATTAATATTTTTGTTTGTTCAAGGATTATTCTCGTAACCATAATCAGGGGTATTTCGAATTGAACACGTTTACGATTTAATTCGTTCAATTTTAAGCGTTCGGTTTTTTCTCTACTTTTTTTTTAATTCATCCTCAATGCTAAATAAAAAAAGTTCAAACACCTGCAGGAAACTATTAATTATTATACCTCGCGGGGTTATAATTTTGACATATTGCGAGGAAAAGTTCATCGAGCCCTTTCTTTCTACTTTTTTTATTTTTATTTTTATTTTCATTCTTATTTTCTTTTTTTTAAAAGTACTTTAACCTACTCCGATCTTTTTCCATCTTTCCGTTCGATATTTTTCTTTTCTTTTCTATTCTTTCGTTTGCCCCTTTTTCAACCTTTTTACTCGTTCTTTCCCTTTTTTCTTTTTTTTTTCCTATTTTTTATTCTTTTCTTTCCAACGTGACACAGTAATTTGACGTTTTTAAGCAACATATAGTTGACAATCGTCCATACAACGATGAACTGAAAATTACTCTACATGTTCTGCTGCCCTTTATACACACACACACACACAGAAAGATAAATGTAAAGATATGCGCACGTTATGTAACAGTAAAGTCGTATGAAAGAGTTGAATGTAAGTATTTTCTTCCTTTTTATTTTCCATTCGTTTTGTTTGCTTGGAAGATGCGACCCACGCACGAAAAAAAAACAAAGAAAAAGAAAAAAAATGAAAAAGAGAATATGACTTTTCACCTACGCAAAAAAGCGTAGCTGAGTTTGATTACATGGCCTAACGTGAAACACCACCACCACCAAGTTCACGTTTTCCTTGCTTGGCACTTGCTTGCTTGCTTGCTTGCTTGCTTGAACATACCTAAATGCAAAGAGTGCCAGTAGCTTTTGAAATTCCTTCTTTGCAAAAGTAACCCGGCCCCTTTACGTAATTACAAACGCCGTTTGACCCACGTATACCATTTTAAAATGAGTGTCTAGATTGTGTAAACGAGTCGCGAGAAAACACGATACTATTACAACTCTCTATAACTTGGTATATGCAAGCTTGTATGTATGTGTGTGTGTATGTGTAGGTATGAATGCAAGTGTTTATTCGTAGCTAACTTTGATTATGGTATTGCTAAAAGAATGAGATAGTTATACTGAGAAACAAAAACCAAAAACAAGGGGCTAGAAACAATTGTATTCTGTAAGATATATTTTTTTATTTATTTTTATTATTGTAAACTTTAGTTTTTCAATTTTT